GTGAGAAAGGGAGAAAAGTACCTCTTTCTCTACCTGCTCTATCCCATGCATAATCTTATAAACCTCGATCATGTCACCCCTCAGTCGTCGTTTCTCCAAGCTAAAGAGCCCTAAGCACTTTAACCTTTCCTCATAGAGAAAGTGTTCCAACCCTTTTATCATTCGAGTTGCCCTTTTCTGCACTTTCCCCAAAGCTATAATATCCTTTTTAAGGTGTGGTGACCAGAACTGCACACAGTATTCCAAATGAGGTTGCACCATTGATTTATATAGGGGCATTATGATATTGGCTGATTTGTTTTCAATACCCTTCCTAATAATCCCCAGCATAGCATTGGCCTTCTTTATTGCAGTCACACACTGTCTCGACATTTTCAGTGAGTTATCTACTACAACTCCAAGATCTCTCTCTTGATCAGTCTCTGCCAGTTCAGACCCCATCAATGTGTATTTATATTTAGGATTTTTGGCACCAATGTGCATCACCTTGCACTTGGCCACATTGAACCCCATTTGCCATGTTGATGCCCACTTTACCATCCTTGACAGATCCCTTTGGAGTGCCTCACAATCCTCACTGGTTTTCACCACCCTGAACAACTTCGTATCATCCACAAATTTAGCCACTTCACTGCTTACTCCCAACTCCAAATCATTAATGAACAAGTTAAAAAGCAGTGGACCAAGTACTGATCCCTGCGGTACCCCACTGCTTACCACTCTCCACTGAGAAAATTGCCCATTTATTGCCCATTTATAGGCATGGAGATGCTTGCTAGAAGAGTTCCCTTTACACAACAGTGTGGGCCACAAGATCTTGAAGGCTTAATCTACACCCAGAATTTCACCTGTGAATTATCTTTCTATGTATATATTCATGGCTGCTATCCTGGTGGTAATTGTGCAAAGTGATTTACTTTCAAAGTGCATGACAGAGAAAGTAAATTCTTATATCAAAGTAGAAAGCTTTTGAATCACTGACACAGTTGGGCTATATTCACCATCTAGGGAAATATGTGCTTCCTATATAAAGTACTGCATGCGCGCACACACACAGAAACCCCCACCAGCCTATAAATATGCAAAACGTGCCCAAGAATAAACACCCTGGAGGAGCAGGGCTTGGAAGGAACATGTCTTTTATCTGAGACCAGGATTCATTACCTAATTTTTGTCTCTGGCTTTCTTCTCATTGATGTTTGTCAAGATCCCAGGGGAAATTAAGAGAGTTCTATTTTTTGTGGGCAACCATTTTGAGGGCACACCTTTAATTAAAGGTGCTACAAAGTACTTTTAGTCAGTGCATCTCCTTCATGTTTTCCTGCCAGCCACGTGAAAGTTCTGGTCAAACCAATGAGCTCTGAATAGAACAACAGCTTATCTCTGGAGCGGCTACATACTGGGAAAGTTCTGCCAAACCATTTCATGAATTCAGGGTGAAAAATGCAAACCAAGAACTCCAATGGGTTTCCAAAGAAGGGGGCAATTAAGAGATTCTCCCCATTTGTATAGAAACAAAACAGCAAGAAATCAGATTTGTGATGCTCAGACAGAACGGCACATGGAGTACCACTTGAACTAGACGGTGGCCTTTAAACATTAGACCACATTCAAAGGCCTCCCCCATCTGCCATAGTCTGGATCCATGTTTCTCAAAGACACCCAGAGGCTTCCCTCTGACCAAAGTTAAAGGTCCAAACATCTTAGTTCAAGGGTGTCAAAAATAAGGCCTGGGGCCTAGAACCAGCACATCCAGGGCTCTTATGCAGCCCACAAGCAACTGGTGCAAGGGAGGGAACAGGAGGCTGATCGGGGTGTAACCAGCAGCACAGACCCAGTACCTGGGGTGGTTTTTCCCAAGAAAGAAGCACCCCAAAAACAACCTCTGAACCTCCACAAGCAGTGTCCCCATAAAGCCAGGCTTGGCTTAAACAGTGGCTTTTGCTGGGAGGCTAGGAGAACCACATCTTGGCTGGGAAAATTCAGGCCAAGAGAAGATTCTCCAGGCTGGCTGCACTGCCAAACATCCTCCATGCAAACAATCCCTCCACTCTTCTCTCCTGTCAGCTCAGTCCAAAAGGACTAAGAATGGGCAAATCTCTGTCCTTGCCTCAGGCATCTTCTACTGACGAAATGGCTAGTCTTTTGTTTGTCAAATGTACAGGCAAACAGGGACAAAGAGCCTCTGGTCTGTGCTATTGTCATGAATGAAGTATGTTGCATGCTTTCATTCCCCATCTCCTGTTTCACCTATATGTCAGGAGATACCTTTGGAATAATCCTCTCAAACCTGTCTCCATATATGTGTCTAAGATATCTGTATTTCTATCACCTATGCCACACCCATCAAGGTAAACATTGCTGTAGAATGGTAGTCCATTCAGCGTCATCCTGTGAAACATTAAGGAAAGGATTTTCTCCTCTGTCCGGTACCAGGGAAACGACAGATTGCCCTATTAATCCACAATGGGAATCCCATCAATCCATTGTGAAACTAGCTACCACACTTTAACATACCTTCAGGATACATTTGGGGGTATAAATATACCCAGTCTTGCACATGCCCAGTGTGACTTTAGCTGGGCACTCACAAAGCTAACAGCCCTGAGCACAACTCAGGTCCTCTGTGGTCTCACTGGTCGGTCCACACATCTCCACTCATCTTACCCTGGATTCCTTCATCTCTTCAGGATAGGTATAGTATTACCCTGACATTCCCCAACCCACTCTATCTTGTCTGCTAACCACTTTCCATATCTTCTTGTATGCTTGCAGCCTCTGATCTGAATGTAAATATCTAGATTATTATTATTAGTTAAATAAAATCCATTTCTGTTACAATTTAGACTGGTTATTGCCTTAAACTAAGGGTCTAACAGGAACTATCATCATAAAAACTGATAGCAGATCCATGCTATACCCCAGCCTCTTGCTAGTTCTGCCTTTGTGGCTAATTCCCCAATCAATGCAAAGGCAAGGTATTTATTTAATAAAGCTGTCTTGGGGTAACAGGGTGGGGGGGAGACACTCTGTGGCTTCAGCACAGTAGGATGACCTCACCTGCAGCAGTCAAACTGAACCCATTTACTTCAGAGACAGACTCACTGGTAAGTTGGGAGCCACTGCAGCCACATTCATACCTCTCCACTCGACCTGCAGCTCCAGGGATGCTGTCCCAGATGGCCACATGGATCAGCATTTGCACGTGGGAGGTGCAGACAATCCTCTGTTGGGGCCTGCTGGCAGCCATCTCCACCACCATATTCATGCCCCCCAAGCGGCAGTTGTGCTTTGGCCCATGTGGCAGTTTCTTCCACACACTGGAGGCCTAATCCTGCCACCCAGCATGCAACTCAGTGGCCAGGCCTCCCTCTCCCATGGACCACTCAGCACATGTCCCAGCCCAACAAAATGACCTTTATGTCAGATCCAGCCCTCATAACAAATGAGTTTGACACATCTGTCTTTGCTGTTCCACTGGATCCCTACAACACAATGAAATGGAGACTGACTCTTCCCCCAGTTCTACTGCAGTTGGCCCATCACTTCTGCTTTACATGCCAGTAAGTCACACCGAGCTGCAGCCTGGAAGCTGCAATGAATCCTCAGGACTCAACCTGTGCAGCACCCTTAAAGGAACAGACATTCACCAAATACAAGGGTACAGCTTCACTTAAGCTTGACCTTTTGTTGCAACACTATAGATATCTTAGTCTGGATTTTGCCACATGACAACAATTTGGGGTTAGCAGGCTTCCTGCAGAAGCCCATTTTGCCCAGGCTGATCATACCCTGACACTAGTCATAAATGGAGTATTAGTATACACACTCATTCTGTGCAATGGGCATTTTAAGTTAGGGAGAAATTCCCATAGTATTTTTGTCTACCCACAGTGCATAAAGATGGCATAGAAATGATGCCTATATAGATTTATTGTGCACTCTATGGAAAATGATGATTTCAGGAAAACTGTGACAAGTGAGGTAGTTTTCCTACCAGCCATTTTGTTGGGGTGGGAAGCAGCAAAAGTGCCAGCTGGTTTTGCTAACAGATGGCTGCATGCACTGATCTGTCCTGCAGGGCTATCCTGAACTTCCTTCCAATGGAAACATGAAGCTTAAGCAAGGTTAAACATGTCCCTTTTATACACCCGGCACCGTGGCTGGAATGTTTTCCAGTCATTCACAATCCCTCAGACACGGTTCCTGTTTTATAGAGTTATATTTAGCTGCAGGGAAAGTCAAGACAGGATGCCCATTTCCCCGAGAATGCCTCTTTTGATGCGGCTATCTAAAAGGGAACATACCCGATTTTCTATCCCTTGGGAAGTGCTGTTTTCAAATCAGAAGCTTCTTCAGCATTCCCCCCCCCCCCGCAAGTTGGCGAAGCCTCAATACTGCACCGAGATCCTTCCCCAATACACACTCCAGACACTGACCAGCAGAGGGGGCATGAGAGTATCACAGAGGCATGTTAACAGCTTAGCACAAGTCACTGCCCAGAAAGCACGGGGCTAAAGTTCAACAGCTTTGCCTTAGGATAGGAAGTAGGCTGCTGGCTCAACAGCCTAAATATCCATTGTAGTGTTTGCACAACTGGTTCAGGCATGGGAGTGTTTGAAAAACATAACAGAAGCTGGAAGGCCACTGAAATATTTTGCACATTAACATGGTCATTACTAGGCCACATTTTGCAGACATATTCAATGGGCCTACAAGATGTGATATTTGAAAATCAAAATTGGGTTTTTTAACTTGCTGCTTTGTTTCTAAGCTTTTCAACATATTACCCCCAGAACTTCAAGATGCACTTTGGAAACTAAACACAGGAGAGGCACCTTCAGAAAACGTAGGAAGCCATGGGAATAACAGAAAAACTCCAGGTCACAGAAGTAAGGCTTGTACTGAGAGCTCAGTGGCTACTCGAATTTGTCCATAACAATACCTCTATGTGCAAGACAGAACACAGTGCAAAGAGGTTAAGTTGTAGCTTTACTCACTTTGGCCACACAATTTTCAGTCTTCATAGCAGTGCTCCCTAAGCATACTGCTTCTTGGTTTAAGCACAGTCTGGCACAGCTGTTGTAGGTCTGGAAAGAGAGAAAAGAGTGGCTGTGGATAAAGAAACACTGTTTGCACACATCATGTACCACTGCTAAAAACAAACAAAACTGAAAATAGTTTATTTATTTATTTATTTATTTGGATTTATATCCCGTCCTCCCCGCAAGCAGGCTTAGGGCATGTCCCAATAATAAAAATATAATATACAAAATATAATATACAGTTAAAACCACTTAGGCAGCCAGCGCAGTTCGTGCAGCACTGAGTGGATGTGAGCCCATACAGGTGTCGCCGTCAACACCCATGCTGCCGCTAGGGCTGCCAACTCCCCTGGTTTGGCAGGGGTCAGCTCCTTTAAGTGCAGGAAGCCGGTGTTTCCCGCGCACCTGATCTCTGTCGGTTGCGCGAGCGGGGGGGGGGGGAATGCCAGCTCTCTGCACTTAAAAGGGCCCCTTTAAATGCAGGGAGCCGGAGTTTCCTATGCACCCGAACTCTCTGTGGAGATCGGGTGCACGGGGGGATGAGGCCAGATGTCTGCACTTAAAGGGGCCCCTTTAAGTGGGTGCGTGTTTGGGGGGGAACGCCAGCTCTCTGCACAGGGAGTCAGAGCCGCTGGAAGATCGGATGGGTGGGTGGGGGGAACATCACATTGTCATCACATTAGGGATGCCCTGCCCCCTCCAAGCACGCCCCCCAAAGTCCCCCGCTGGGGGTGAAGATAGGACTTAGCAAACCTAGCTGCCGCGTTCTGCACTAGCTGCAACCTCCGGAGCAGAGTCAAGGGCAGATCCACATAGGGAGAGTTACAATAATCCTGTCTGGAAGTGACCATTGTATGGATCACTGTAGCCAGGTCTGGGGGGGGGGGGGAGATATGGAGCCAACTGCCTGATCAGCCTCAGATGGAAAAAGGCAGACCTGGCAGTGGCAGTGACTTGGGCCTCCATAGAAAGGGAGGAATCCAGGAGCGCCCCCAGACTAGGTTCCCGCTAAGCTGCGCTGGGCTGCGCCAGCACAGCAATTTCAGGGGCCCAGCGCAGCATTTTTTTTCACAGCGCAGGAGCTGGAGCTGGAGGTTCTCTTTTAAATTGGTCTGCCTTCCAGGCCCCACCTCCAGAAGCCTTCAGTAGAGCTGGGAAGCGGGAACCAGCACATGCTCGCCGCCGCCACCACCAGCACGAGTCAGGGTAAGTTAGGGTGGTGGGGATTGATTGGGGGGAGGGGAGTTCCCTTGGCTTCCTCGGGTTTCCCGCAGCTGCAGGGAGCTCAAGCAAGCCGGCTCCTGGATAGGAGGGGGGTGGTTTAAACCGCCTTCCCTTCCCTTGGCTTGCTCGGGTTTCCGCAGCTGCAGGGAGCTCGAGCAAGCCGGCTCCTGGAGGGGAGGGGGGGTGGTTTAAACCACCTTCCCTCCCCTTGGCTTGCTCAGGATCCCCGCAGCTGCAGAGAGCCCGAGCAAGCCGGCTGCTGGAGGGAAGGAGAGGCAGTTTAAACCACCTTCCCTCCCCTTGGCTTGCTCGGGTTTCCGCAGCTGCAGGGAGCTCGAGCAAGCCGGCTCCTGGAGGGAAGGGAGGGTGGTTTAAACCGCCTTCCCTTCCCTTGGCTTGCTCGGGTTTCCCGCGGCTGCAGGGAGCTTGAGCAAGCCAGCTCCTGGAGGAAAGGGGTGGTGGTTTAAACCACCTTCCCTTCCCTTGGCTTGCTTGGGTTTCCCGCGGCTGCAGGGAGCTTGAGCAAGCCGGCTTCTGGAGGGGAGGGGGTGGTGGTTTAAACCGCCTTCCGTTGCTCGGGTTTCCCATGGCTGCAGGGAGCCCGAGCAAGCCGGCTCCTGGAGGGGGGGTGGAGGAAGATGAAGAAGGAAGGTAGGTTGCAGAGGAACCCCCCTTTCCCGGCTCTCGGAGAGAGCATTGCACCGAACCCAGGGAGACTTCCATGATAGAAGTAAAAAATGAAATCTCGGGGGTGTCAGGCATGCGGCTTAGCCATGCAGCATGGAATTACTTCTCTGGGACGCCTGAAGCATCAATGGTTGAGTCAAAAAAGCAAGGGGGTAAGCCAATGCATTTCAGCTCCTCTGCACAGATGACAAACATCGTCCAGAGGGACTTACTTGAGAGTAAATGTGCAGGAGCTGCAGAGCCCAGTAGTTCTGTTTAACTGCGGGCTCGATGTGGATCAGCCCCTGCGATTTACAGTTCCCAGTGAACACGCACGCACATGCACACACACAGAGCTGCTTTACAACCAAACCTCGCCTTCCCCCCGAAACTAGCACATGAGCCTTTGACTTCCGCAGAATTCTTCTGCAGGCTGGGTGATAACCAAAAAACGAGGAGGGGGAGGAGATGTTTTAGAGGCAATCCATGAGACTGACTTTTTCATACATTAGCGGGGGGGGGTGCTGCCGGGGAGGTCCTCCCCGCATTGCATGGGCTTCCTTCCCCATTCCTGAGTTGCTTCTCTCAGCAACTTCGCCAGAGGGAGGAGAGTCCAAGGAGGGACTCTTCACCACACCTCCACTGAGCGCCTCAAGGTATGTCAGGGAGGGAAACATTTGCAGTACGTCAGGGAGGGAAACAGCCACGGAGGCCACCTTCTTTCCAGGTGTGGGCTAAAACCTCTGAATACTAGTCCTAGGTGTAAGATTCAGGGAAGAACTTGTGTTCTATGTTCTATTTGCTGGTCATCTAAAACAAATGATGGGCCACTGTTCTTTAAAAAGCTTTGCTGCTTTCTGCAATTTTCTTTTTGCTCCTGGCAGTCCCAAATCCATGATCAATTAGCTTGTTCAGAGATGAGTGGAAGTGCTGCTTTTTTGGCATGCAATTAAATTGAATTCTCATGATTTTTTAAATTTTTCATATCTTAATTATAACAGCATTAATAACAATCCTAAACACACTTCAGAATGAAATGCTGTACTTAAGCACACACATGCACACACTTGATTTATGAATGTTAACTCCCAATCTGGGGAGAACAAAAATAATTCTTAAAAAACACTAGAAACTGAAAAAAAAGAAGGAAACTTAGGGACCTCAGTGGAGTACAATGCCATAGAGTCTACCCTGTAAAGCATCAATTTTCTCCCGGGGAACTGATCTCTGCACTTTGGAGATGAGCTGTAATTTCAGGGGGTTCCCAGGTCCCATCTGGAGGCTGGCATCCCTAGATGTCATCTGGATTTTCTGTTAACCAGTGTGTGCAGAAAGTGGCAATTCCAGACTAAACAGCTAGTGTGAAAGCAAACTTAAAAGCCAAAAGGAATCAAATGAGTTTATTCTAGTAGTTATGAAGGCTGTATACCAGCAGTATGCCCAGTTCTGTGCCCTGTTGTGTCTTGGTGCCTTGTCCGCTTCTCTTTTCCTCTAGCTCCAAATGTTACATTCCTTCTCTAAGTGCTCAGTTCCTGGCGACATCTCCAGACTGGAGGATGTTGGTTAAGTCGTGGGGGAGGGGACCTCTCGGAGCAGAGCACAGCAGCTAAATAGAACCTCCATGTATAGGGGTAGTTCTACCCCTCTTTGAGATTTCTGTGGATGTCTATAGGAGAAGCCTAGAAAGTGTTTCAAATTCAGCACTGAAGGGACATAAAGACCCTGGTGGATCAAGACCATTTTGGAAACTTCCAGCCAAAATTTCAGCAAGGTGAGTGTAATGATTTCATGTTTTTGGTGTGTGTGTTTCTTTTAATGTTTAGTGTGACTGCAGTATTGTAAGAAGAGTTAATATGTTATGTTTGTATGCTTTGTCTGTTTGTACACTGAAATATTTTTTTTTTAAAAAAAATGTCGGCCTGCTCACAGTTTTAAAGCTAGTATCATTTTTGGCTCACAGGGTAAAATTTCTGCTCACAAGACTGCATACCTTAGAGGGAACATTGCCCCCAGACTCTTCAACCTCAACGTCAGGATCAATGGAGCCCCTTGAAGGCTGGGAGCCTGATTTCCTGTCCCAATCCCCTGTGACTCAGGTACAGGACTTCCATCTTGGATGGATTTAACTTCAGTCAGCTCTGTCACAACCATCCAGCCACAGCCTGTAACGCCTCGTCCAGATCTCCTGGGACCGTGTCTGGGCAGCCGTCCATCAGTAGTTTGCATTACATAGCCATACAGATGTTGTGTATGATGTGCTTCTCTCTTACCCCCAATCCCTTTTGAAATGATTTGTATTCTTTAATCAAGAGCTTCATACTTGAAGCACCATGATAGACTGGAGATCTATAGTAGGAAGAAGAAGGTGGAATGGTGCCAGCAGAGAGACAGGAAAGCCCAAATGTAAAAACAAAACTGGAAGAATTTGAGGATGGGATATATGAGTAAATCCAATTAAATTATAACAGAGATTCCCGGTGCAAAGAAGTGTGTTTTACTACCTCTGTTCTTGACACCTGAACACAGTGGGGACATGGCACCCCAACGGCAAAAGTACTGTGCCCCAGTGTCTAAAGTGCCATTGTGTTAACAGAAATAATGGCAATACACAACATGTTTGGTATTGTAGTTGATTATTACTTGCAATTCTTAGAAAGCACTAGAAACTAGTTTTCACATAAAACCAATTTCTGCACCAAATTTCTTGTCAATTATGGATACAGTGAAATTAGTGAAAGTAGAGCTGTCAACCAATTAAAGAAATCTAACTTGATCAATAATTTGACTTGCAATCAATTAACTGATTAAGGCTGTGGTCACACCAACAAGGTAATTGCGCTTTGTTCCCGCTTTAATTTAATCGGGAACATTTTTCTTTAGGTTGGGCTGATTAGATGCAACCGGCCCCTCTCTTCCACCATCCGCTCGCCTGTCAGCTCATAAGGAAAATCCTTCCCCTGCCTGCCTCCAGCAAGCCGCCTCTTGCTGCCCAACCAGCCGAGAGGGCTGCTGCGCTCAGCTCGCCTTGTCGGGGCTGTGGCAGAGCCTCCACCGCACCGAGTCCCTCCAGGTGATCCTGCCGGCCACGGGGCAGGCTCAGCCCCGCTGTCTCCACCATCCTCCTTGTCTGCGCTCACTTGCCTGCAAGCCTGAAA